CTTCTTAAAAGAAGGTTTATGTTCAAGTGAACATCTTGCACTCAATGTCTTTAGGTTTTATTGGCAGAAAAATGTCGGTTTTGCGTCTAAGAAGACGATGGTGACTTTATTGGCTCAACGAAAGGTATAAGTATAACTTTTTGTGTATCAAAAAGATAAATACAATGTTTCAAGGTCGAAAAGAATGTTTCAAGGTCTCAAAGAGAGGGAATGTAAAAATTTGGTTATTTCGTAGTGACCATGAATTATTTTGGGTAAAGAATCGAGAGATTTTATTTTGGGATTTTAGACATGATAAGAAATGTCTAATCTTGCCATATGTCAAAAATCCTTAATTATTGAAGAATTAAGAGAATATGTAATTCATTTGATATTCGAAGAACTCAACATTAAAACTCGTTCAATTATTCAACCTTAGAAGGTAGCATAAATTTAGTCATCAAAGATTAAAAATATTTAAGCAAATATTAAAGAATGAACAAAAACGAGTTCAAGCAAAACAATGATCTTAGTGCAATTGGTAGATACAATGACCCCATTTTTCTTCGATTGTCCATGCCCTTGAATCCATTAGGTTATGGATCTTGTGTTTCAGTGCCTTACAGTTTTCAGTGGAATGCCTAGAGCTTCCTATACAACTTCAGCATTATAACCCTAAAGATATGGAGACTCTTTTCTTAGATCATCCTAGAGGACTCAACCCTATAACCAGCCGAACAAGAGTCCATCATGCTGATTTCAGATTCTTCCTTTTGTTCGAATCTTGCTTCTATTCTTAATGTGGTTAAGACCACTTCATTCAATCCTCCATGAATTAATGCAAGTGAAAATGCATAAAAATAAAATACAAATGCAAAATACAAAGATGCAAATGTAGATACAAAAAATAAAAGACTCTATTGGTGAACTACTCCTCGGATCATTGGATCATTATTCCAGTTTTGAATGTTTACGATCTTCGAGCAAGTCTCATTATGGTACTTTGAACTTCTTTTAGCCTTCGGTGTATGTCTGTATATGCGACTACTTGATTGAAAACTTTTACCTCTTATTGTAAAAATTTTCTCTCAAATATCCCCTTATAGATCAACATTTTCGAATTATGTCATGACGATGCAATACAATGCAAAGAAGGATGAAAAATGACGCAAACAAAAGAAAAGAAATAAATTAGTGTATACAAACCAACGAAAAGAAATTAGTTAGTATATGTAAGACAATCGATACAGATAAAAATGTTATTCAAAGATGAATATAACACCTACCCCATCATGATATCTACCTGAACATTCTTTAATTAAATAACATTCCTACCCGGACATGCTATCTACCCAAAATGACTAATCAAGAAATTAATCCTAACCGCATGGTATCTAGTTCGCATGTTTTCATTCGAAAAGAAAATATATTCTACGAACTTAAAGCAAAAGATAAGGGTTTAAAAATGTTCCTCCTTTGTGTACACTTAGTTTGGGTACCTATTGACGAACAGAGGTTCGGTATGTCTACACCTACGATTACCGTTCTACGGTTCACTATATACATGGTTTCGGCTCTAAAAAGAAAAGGGTACTCGAATTGTCCTTGATGTCGGTGCTCCCTTGGGCTGCCAGACCCTCGATCCTCACCCATTACAAGTTTCGAATGGAACGAGTTCAATTCAAGGGGATTCAATACCTTATACCCATACAAGGAATAAATCCCTACGAAGGTATAAGATATGTATCCCATGGTATTTTCTAAAACTCATACGAAGAATAAATTCTTACAAGAGTAAAGAAAATACCCCGACTAAGTTGGATTGAAGCTCGTATCTAGAGCTGGTTATGCTAATGCACGTGATGTGTGTGATGAGGAACGTACTTACCATTGACTAAAAAACGAAAAAGGAAAAAACTCGACAAAGACCTGAACAAAGCTGAAAGCAAAATTAAAATGTTAGTATGAAAAATTAAAAATGAAGCAATTAAAAGCTTCAATAAACGGATCATAAGTTAACTAAAAACTCAAACTCATAATTTCCACCAAACGAAAATTTGTAAGCGACCTACAGCCTGACTCTCTATAAAAAAAAGTTCCCAGCGGAGTTGCCAAGCTGTCATAGCCATTTTTTTTGAAAAACAATGAAATATTATTTTAAAAAATAGTTATGACTTTAATTTGAAAATTTTAGTGATCTAGAATTGATTTGCATAAAATGGAAAAGAAGTCGCCATCAACCTTTGGGTTAGGTAGGTCGAATAGTTAAAAATGTATTTTAAAACAATTTTAAGAAAAATCATTTTATAAGACAAAAATTTGGTATGTGTTTACCAAAAATTCGATTTTAAGGGTTCAGGAGTCAATTACGCTTGGGGAAGGGTAAACATCCCCACAACACCCAAAATTGGTATTGTGTCGCTTACACTTTGTCGTAGCAGTGGGATTTATTAATCGAATATAAAGTTAAAATATGATCCATTTATTAAATTGCTTTAAATTATTTATCAGAGAAAATTCTTTAACTTGAAAAGAAATCTCGAGATTAGCAATCCTTTGTCGGGAAAGCTAACTCGTCTATTTCTTATCGTTAAAGAATATTCTCTCCTCATTTATTGAAAAATGTAAATCGAATATAAATGTAGAATCGACATTTGCGTATAATAAAATACATTTCCATTTATAGAAACATGACTTGCATTGTTTAATGTAAAATAAAAATGAATTAACAATTAACAAAACTAAAATTGATTTATTTCAAGTTCCATTTAGTTCGAACGTCATATTAGATTGTACCACTTCGATCAAGTGATATTTTCCACGCCCGTTCTACAAATACGTGCTCTTGAAATATTCGGATGATATTTAAATAAAGAAATACAATGGAAATAAATTCAAATAAAAATATATGAAATAAAATATTTAAAACAAATAAAGTTAAGCATATTTATTTACATCTGATACCAATGAATACATAACATAACAATATGTACATACATAAGGGATTCAAATAGAACAATAAAAAATTTAAATGACCAAAATAGGATTAACAAAAATTTGAGGACCAAAATAGTAAAAATAGAAACTTAAGGGACTAAAATAACAAAATAGAAATTGAATGGACTAAAATAACAAAAACAAAAACTTAAGGGACTAAAATAGTGAATATAGATATTTAAAGGACTAAAATAGATAAAATAGAAACTTAAGGGATTAAAATAGAAAATACATACATTTAAATGACTAAAATAGAAAAAATATTTTAAGGACTAAAATAGAAACAATAGAAACTTAAACAACTAAAATAATACAAATAGGAATTTAAAGGTCCAAAATAGAAAAACAAAAACTTAAGGGACTAAAATAGTAAAAATAGACATTTAAAGGATTAAACCACAAATAAAATAAAATATGTTCCCAAAATTGAAAATACTAAATAATACAGGTACTAGAAATGGAAATAACCCCTAAACAATATTTAAGACTAAAATAAAATAACCAGAAACATAAAGGACCAAACAATAATTAAACCAAATACCAAGTAGTGACTAAAGTAAAAATATTTACTAATGACATAGCCTAAATTCGAATATCCACCAAAATACTTAACATACAAAAATCAGTGACCAAAATACAACTATTACAAATACTGTGATCAAAGTCAAATATTAACAAAAACACACAATATAATAATATGACCAAAACATAAATAATGAAACGTGAGTGCTCAAAATCAAATAAAATGAAACTTCATTAGATGACTAAAAAATGATATTACAAAGCAAGAGGGACCTAAAGTGTAGTTACCCCACACGCTGAAAATACACAGAATGTCCCCACTGAAACGACGTTGTTTTGCTCCACAAATATATATCACATTCTAAGGCCAAAATGGCCTAAGCTTCTCATTTGCCTTCATTTGAGACGAGAGAAGAGAGAAAGAGTGAGAAAGAGCTCCATAGAGCTCTCGGGAACAGGCGAACAACCACCGTACCGACCACTGTTGATCGGCGACGACCATCATCCACTGACACCGAAGGAGAGAAAAGAAGACACCATCTAACGCCTTTTTTCACCCTGGTTACGGATTCAGGCTTTATTTAGCCAAAGGGGGTCTCTAACAGGGTAGATCTACAAAGGAACCCTTGGTTCTTTTGGCTCGAGCGACCTTTGGAGTTTCCGAAGAGCCATCTAGGGTAAGTCTTTTCCTTTCTCCTATTTCTTTGTGTTTTTCTTTCTCTTTTTCTCCTATTGAGCCTTTTCTCTCTTAATTTTTTCTCTAAAACCTCGAATCATTTTCTCTATCATCTCTTTCTTCTTTTTATCCTTGATTCATGTGATAGATTAGTGATTGATTTCCCGATTCTCCTCGGGATATCTCTTGTACTTACCTCATTTTAATTTTATTTTTCTCTGGCTTGGATATGAATTTTTGCTTTCTGTCACTGTGGATGATGGATGGACTCGAGAGGGTTCGACAGTGGCTCGAGAAATCATCGATGGCGGTTCACGTGGCTGGAAAGAAGAGCGGTGACATCCACGCGCCAGTTGGCTAATCGACGACGGCTGCTACTGCTGATGTCCATTAGGGTAAAAACCTAATGGCCACTGATCTGGATCGTTGGATGGGTCCAGATTGTGTGGCTGAGGGAGATGCGGTGCTTGGAACATTAGGGGAACCCTAGCTGATTCGGGCCAACCACTTCGGCCTGGTTCGGGTCATCCGGGTTGGATTGAGTGCTGAGTCAGATCCTGGTTTGGATTGTAACTTGTTAGATCTGGGTAGGCTCGAGTCTTCGGGTCTGGGCTCCAGTTGGATCTTGTAACTGGGTCTTGGGGACTTGTAATCTGGGCTGCAAAATTAAGCCTGCAAAATATAATTAAGTTTGATTAATAATATAATAATAATAATAATAATAATAATAATAATAATAATAATAATAATAATAATAATAATAATATAATTAATATTTTTGGTAGATCCGGACAAAAAACGGGTGTCTACAGGAAGAATGAGAAACCTCGAAGTGCGAGGGAGGGCTCTTGTTGATCGAGAAGACATGGGGTTTGGGGCTATGGTCTTTAACGAAAGGGTTTTGGATCGAAAAGTAAGGGTTCTTGAACCAGCCATTATTGCAGACCTGCAAAACGATGCCATTCTTTTCTGGTTTGGAAATTGGGTGAACCCGGAGGGTGAGGCAGGAAACAGGAGTCCGGTTGGTTTCTTCCTCAAACCCTAAATTTTGGATTTAGAGAGATTTTGGATTTGTTTTCAAGGTGTATAAAACGACGCCGTACCAAAATTCAAATGTTCCGTTTGGGCCGCCAGTATGAAGGACTTGTTTTGTATTATTTTAAAAGAAATTGAGCCAAAAATGTTTTTGGACCAAGAATAATTTTTAAGATATATTTTTAGATGAAAATTATGTATTATGTATTATGTTTTATCTATATTATTTTGTTGGGATAAATTAAATTAAATTTGGGATAGTTTGAATCGAATTTGGATTATAAAAAAAAATAATTTAGAGTCGCCCGTAATTGCCCGTTGGAAAGTGGATTGCTTGAACTTCTAGTTATTCGGAGTAATTAAGTTCCAAACTGAGGCTCACTCATAACCCAAGTGCTTGCTTTTAATTAGTTTTAATTTGTTTGATTCGGGTAGCACGATATTTCAAAGTTCTAAGGTTAAAACTTTATTCCTTTTTTTATTTTTATTCGAAAAGAAAAGAAAAACAATTAAAAATATATATGTCTAAATTTAGACATCCTACACATATAACAGATCTAGTTATAATCCAAAACGGTTAAGACCATTTACAACATACTTTAAATCTCATGCCTAGCCCCAATCGAAACATAAAATCTTAGTTTATTGACGGCCCAACAGGCAGTTATTCAACATTCCTGACCCAGTTGAAGACCACCCCAACATTAACCCATTAATTGACTAAACCTTAAACTCATTATCCAAGACCCATTTAAAAAAAAAACTGGTTAACTATAATCCTATATTTAGGGTTAGCTACCATCACTAATGATGATAAGCGTCAATAAATGTTGGCTGCTGCATCTGAAGCTAGATCGAACGGTTCAGATGGTAGGATTGTTCATCTCTTCGCGCTTGTTGCACACGCACACCCATCCAACTCCTTTATGCACTTCTAGAAAGACCCCAAGATCACCAGTTCAATCGAGAATGTTGCACGAGTTAGGGGGAGATGACGAGAGTCCTAGGTCACGCTAAGGATCAAGTCATATGAGCACTCGACTCATCTCTACCAAGCAAGCACTTCTTGTGGTCCCCTTTTTAGCAGGTAAAAAGGATGAGAGGCCATCAAGGACGAACTATTAGGGGCTGTAGAGGAGGCCTTCTTATGGTACGACTCTCGTCGATTGAAGAGGGCTTCATCCCACGGAGAGCTAAACCCTCACATCATATTAGAATATAGTTTGAGAAAAGAGAGGATAAAAAGATGAGAGGAAATAAAAAGGAAAAATAGAGAACAAAAAGAAAGCGAAAAAGGTGAAGGAAGAAGAAAAGAAAACAAGATTTCTTTCGAAGGTATTTTTCTTCGTTTTGTAACTAGAGTTTTAAGGAGGGAGGTCGCTTACTAGTTCATCCTTGAGATCAGAAACATAAGGAATTTTTTGGGCTTGATTCATCGAATATTACTGAGATGAGGTTTTAAACGTCGATGAATGATGAGCGGTGATGGAGCTTTTCTTCTCTAGACGCTAACTTAATAGGGTTTCGAAGAATACTCTCTCTCTCTCTCCTCCAAAAAAATGAGGGTTAAACTATTTGAACCCTATAATGTGGCTTATATATCAATCTCCCTGCATCGTCGTTTTGAGGCTTTGCTTAACCCGCATGCGACCTGTATCTGGTATTATACACACTCATTTTCGTTCAAATTTTAGTTCGAAGTTTCATTTTTAATGTTTTGGTTAATTAATTTTATTCGATTATTTTAATTTGTTTTCTTCAATTAAATGTAACAACTTTTCAGTTTAATAGTTAGATTATATTATATAAATAAACTAACATTTATTTTATTATTTGCTTGTAGGTTTATAAGGATTCGACATGGCTTAATTCATAAACCACATTTACAAACCCAGATACTACACCCCTTCATCTCCAAGGACTCTTCGACGTTTAAGGAAACATATTCCTTTGAAAAAGATCCTTGTTTCTTAATAATGACATCATCAAATCAAACAAATACATAAAAAAGAAAAATATAAATCTCTTTTAATCTTTCGTTTAAACCTTTAAATGAAATATTGATTTTCAGACTTCGAGCTCTTCATTTGCGTTGTATTCCACTTTAATCCTTATTTGTTTGTTATCTATCTTGATGTTTGTAATTTAGATTTTAATTTATTTTACTTTTCATTTTAGTCAATATTTTTTTGTATTAGACTGAATAATATCTTGTTTGTGCTTTAAATCTAATTTTGCCCCATATTCAATTTGGTCACTATTCTAATTTAATTCTTGGTTTTGATTTTATGGATTTTTGCATGTTTAGTCTCCTTATTCAATTTGTTTGTACTTTAAATCTAAGTTTTGCCCCAAAATCCCACTCGTTTAAGAGAAAAATAGAAAAAAACGTTGCAGAGGAGAGTATGAAAGAAAAGAGCATGCTTAACGTATTATTAAAAATATTTTATGGCATCTCACAATTTTATTAGGTAAAAGTGTATTAGACTTGGGCAAATTACATATTTTGGGTGAGATTTTGAGCTCGAGAGCATTTCATTATATCTTGCTCATTTTCTCCCTTTTTGAGTGTGTCGAACTTAACTTCTTTATTCTATAACTTTATTGTAAATGCATTTTGAGATTATATTTTTGGATTGATGCTTTAAGATAATAAGGGAAATTAGGTTTAACATACTTCTCAATCTTTTAGAAGGCATACCCATATGTTTTCCACCATAGTCAATTTGAGTCCATTTTCTCTTTTCTTTATTTTACCACATTTTGAATCAAAACTTTTTTTTGTTTGCTATCCATTCTTTTGCTACCTTTTTCAAGGCAAGAGAAAAACGTTTTTCCACCCAAAAAAAAAGTAAGAAAAAAAGAAAAAAAATGGAAGTTTGTTTGGAGATATGTTTGTTAAATAGAAAAAAAAAATTGAAGTTTGTTTGGATATATGTTTGTTGAATGAGATGTGTGACTAAATTAGTTGGTAGTATGTTTGATATTGTTATGTGAAATTGATATCGTGCACTTTAATATCTCTTGTCTTGATTGTGAAACCTTTAATTTTGTCTTTTATGATGTTGTGACTTAAGTGCCATTACAACCCTTATAAAGACCCTTCAATTTTTGCATCACATTCATATGCAGTGATGGAGATTTGATTCATTTGCAAACTTATGGTAATATCATGTTATATTTTGACATTGAGAGTAAATGCACCTTAAACACTTTGAGTATTGAGTGAAACCATGCCAGGGTGTTAAGTCTTGTTGCATTTGAAATTGATGGATTAATGAAAAATTTTGATTTTGTTACAATTTTATCATATTCATACTCTTTCACTTAACTGTCATTATGGTTCAAATTATTGATGTGTGCTTAACTTTATTAGTATTATGAGATGTTAAACGAGATGATGGAATGTAGATGGAATAGTTAGTATGTTGAATTGAGATATACTGTTTGGACTTTTTTTTGGTTAGGAACATAAAATGGTTGTCCCTTGTTCCCATATGTAATGGGGTATTAGGTTAAGAGCAGCTTCCGTAGGAGACCTCCAAATTATGAAATGCCCTCCATGAGACTCGATCCCACGACCTCAAGGATAAGAAAATTAGGTTAGGAACATCATTTGATTAATTAACACAAAACTAGAAGTCAAAGGCAGAGTCTGGAATTTTACTAGTAGCTGTGGCAGGAGTCACGGGAAAGATCAGGACAAGACACAATTCAAGTTCAACGTAGTAGATTTCAACGGTACAATCAAAAACTTTTTAGAAGGCAGTCCAACATTATCTTGAAGTCAAATAAGGAATTATCTGAAAGATAAATGTTTAGGAAAAGGTTCCAGAAGATGAAGTAGAGCTCAACAAGAACCAAAAGACAAATATTTCTCTTTATTTTTTTTGTAATAAACCTTTCTTTTTAAATTAATTATTTTTAGTTTGAATATTTTATCTTTATCGTTATCTTTATCTTTTATTTACTTAGAATTCTTGGGTATTGTTGACGAAAACGGGTAAAGAAAACAAAAGAACACGAGAATTTTATGAGATTCGGCAATGTGCTTACGTCCTCGGTGCCTAGGTGGCGCTAGAAGTTTTATTCAATGATATTTTAGGTCTAGGTTACATCTCTATTTATAATAGAAAACCCTGGTACATAATTACAAAAGCAACCCTGTACCATACCGCAGGGGCTGCGCCCCCGCACCCCCAACCCATATAATTCGTAACCCCACAACGAGACTTTCTTTGTAAGGACAGTTGATGTTCGCTTCGCTCACTCCATCTCCTGTCCTCTTTACTGGTATATTTATGAGCCATACCTAACAAATCTCCACCTTGGCGAATATCCTGCCCCTTGGAAACTTCAATGTGGGTTGGGTTACCTTGCTTCTTTAACAACTCGAAACATTCAACAAGTCCAAGAAATGTTTGAACTTGTCTGTCGTAACTGGCTTGGTGAACATATCAGCGGCATTCTCATCAGTATGTACCTTCTGAAACAAAACCTCTCCAGATGCAACCAACTCTCTGATCTTGTGGAACCTTACATCAATATGTTTAGTTCTAGCACGATACACCTGATTCTTAGCCAAGTGAATAGCACTTTGATTATCACAAAGCAACTGAACTCCACCTTCTTGAACACCCAACTCTTTCACTAAACCAGTAAGCCATAAAGCTTCTTTTGCAGCTTCAGCCGCTGCCATGTACTCAGCTTCAGTTGTAGATAGAGCCACAACAGATTGAACAGTAGACTTCCAACAAATAGGCCCTCCACCAAGAGTAAAGACATACCCTGTCGTAGATCTTCTATTATCCAAGTCACCTGCATAGTCTGAATCCACATATCCTACAACCAAAGGATTATCCCGCTGACTCCCAAAAATAATTCCATGTCCCTCAGTACCCTTTAAGTACCGAAAGATCCACTTGACT